AGATCCCCCTCTCCTCTGCCCGCGTCCCCCGCTCGGGCCTCTTCAGCTATGGCTTCCAGGCCGGCCTCCAGCGCTACCAGCAGCTCCGCGCCCTCAAGCACCTCCGGGTGGGCCGCCCTGTCGCACCACCGCCTCCCGGCCTCTTGGAGCCCTGGCCCCCTGTACTGCCGCCTGCTGACGGCCCTCCCCGGGCCTCCCAGCGCCCACGGGGCGCTGGCAGGGTGCGAGGTGAGCGCAGCACTGCCCTGGGGACAGGTGTGAGGGGAGCTGTGACCTTCCTGTTGGCCCCACGGTGCCCCAAGGGGGACCCCGGTCACCCCCATGTTGTCCCCACAGCCCTCCCTGTGCCCCAAGTGGGACCTTGGTCACACCTGCGTTGTCCCCATGGCCCTCCCCATGCTCCAAGGGTGGCCCCAGTCACCCCCACATTGTCCCCACAGTCATCTCTGTGCCCCAAGTGGGTCTGTGGTGACCCCTGCGCTGTCCCCACAGCCCTCCCTGTACCCCAGGGGGGTCCTCAGTCACCCCCACATTGTTCCCACAATGCCCTCCCTGTGCCCTAAGTGGGACCCTGGTCATCCCCACATTATCCCCACGGCCCTCCCCATGCCCCAAGGGGGCCCCTGGTCATGCCTGCGTTGTCCTCACAGGCCCCATGCCACCAAGGAGGGCACCTAGTCACCCCTGCGTTGTCCCCACAGCCCTCCCTGTACCCCAAGGGGCTCTGTGGTGATCCCTGTGCTGTCCTCACAGCCCCCCGGTGCCCCAAGGAGTCCCCTGGCACCAGGAAACGGGTGAGCAGAGGGCGGCAGCCTCCTGGCTCCACTCAGCCCCATGCCAACCAGCGAGATGCAGCCAGCCGGGGCTCCCCACCGTGCCAGGTGGCACTGGACACTTCTGGGCATATCCCGCTGCTGCCAGAGGAGCCTGCAGGATCCCTGGGGGGTGACGCCAACCATGGGCAGTGCACCACAGCCGGGACAGTGCCGCAGCAGGCAGGCAGGAGCTTTGGGGGGCACCCACCGGGCATGGAGAGGGGGCAGGTGTCCCCCATAGACAGTGAGGACGATGACCTGATCCCACTGAAGGACATGCTGCTGGCGGGGGACGAGCCCCCGAGCCCTGCAGACCACCAGCAGGTAGGTCCCTGCCCGAGAGTGGGTGCCTCGGCATCAGGGGGTCTCTGGGGATGTCCTGGCGCCCACCGGGTGTTGTGGTACCCACTGAAGTGTAGCCGTTGCCTTGCTCTGTTGCCCAGGTTGCGTGCCCACGGCCAGATCCACTTGCCAACAGCCTGGATTCACTGGTCCGGGAGAAGAGGTAAGACTGGCACCCCGTGGGCACAGGGGCTGTGCTGGGCATCCCAGGGTGCCCTCGCCCTGCCCTAACCCCCCCCGTGTCAGGGAGCAGAGCCAGGCAGCCACGCTGCAGGCTGACCTGGTGCGGGTGCACATGGATGACGCCAGTCCCTGGGAGTCCCCGGACGAGGACACCGAGATGCCTGAGGAGCACAGGTACCCCTGCCAGCTGTGCCTGGGCACAGGGTTAGGGGGTCTGCGCGGTGCCTGCTCCCTGCCTGACACTGCCCGCCCGCTCGCAGGGATCTCCTGGCCCGCTTGGCCGTGAAACCCAACTTCATCCCCACCGTCCACCCCGGGGAGCCCATCTTCTGCGCCCGCCTGGCACCAGCGCCCATCCTGGACACCCACCGGCTGGCGCCAGAACGCATT